GGGGTGGGTCCCTCACCGTGCCCGCTCCCCGCGGGTCCCGCCCCGCTCCGAGGATGAGTTTGGACCCCGGGAGGGTTTTGGGGTGGATTTGGAGCCCCGGGGCTGAATTTGGGTTCGGGTTCTGAGCCCCGGGGATGAGTTTGGAGCCCCGGGGAGGGGTTTTGGGGTGGATTTGGAGCCCCGGGGCTGAATTTGGGGTGGGTCCCTCACCGTGCCCGTTCCCCGCGGGTCCCGCCCCGCTCCTGCCGCTCCGAGGCCGCCCCGGGGGCCGCGCCGGGCTCGAGGCCGGGGCTGGGCTGGCGGATCTCGTGGAGATCCCCGCGCTGCTGCTGCTGTTGCTCCTGGTTTTCCATGGATTTGCCGGGATCGGGAGCGAGGGAGGATCGGGAATGGTGGGGGGGGGTGGTTCGAGGGGGCCGTTACTGCGCATGCGCGCGGGGCCGGGAGCGTCTCTGGTTGCCTGGCAACGCGGCCGCCATGTTGGCGTCTCTGGTTGCCTGGCAACGCGGCCGCCATGTTGGCGCCTCTGGTTGCCTGGCAACGCGGCCGCCATGTTGGCGTCTCTGGTTGCCTGGCAACGGGGCGGGAGCTTCACCAACCCCCCCATCCCATTCCCATCGGGAACACCGGGAAAAACGGAACCGGGATAGGGGCTGAGAGACCCCCCCGGCCCCGAGACACCCGCGCAGGGGGCGCTGCACGTCCCGGGGGGGCGGGAGGAGAGGCCGGGCTGGAATTCCCAGGGAAGCTGTGGCTGCCCCTGGATCCCTGCAGTGTCCCAGGCCGGGCTGGATCCCCTGGGATAGCGGGAGCTGTCCCTGAACATGGAATGGGATGATCCTGAAAATCCCTTCCCACCCAAACCATTCCGGGATAAAGGACACTCGGGATCCACTCAGAGCGGTTTTTATGGAATGTGGGGATGGGAAAGGCGGGAAAGGGGAAGGGAGACCCTTCCCTGAGTGCCGAGATTCCCAGGGAATCCCCCCTTGTTCCCGGAACTCCTTCCCAGAGAGGAGTTGGGCTGGGGATGGATCCAATGTCAGGCTCTGGATCCAGGCTGGGAGAGCTGGGAATGGCCAGGCTGGAGCAGGGAAGGATCCAGGGAGAGCTGGGAGCCCCTTCCAGAGCCTGGGAGGGTGGGGAGGGGCCGGGCTGGAATTCCCAGGGAAGCTGTGGCTGCCCCTGGATCCCGGGAGTGTCCCAGGCCGGGTTGGATCCCCTGGGATAGCGGGAGGCTCATCCATGAACGCTCCTCCATCCCTGGGATTTTCCTCTGCTCCCCCGAGGTTCCATCCCAGCCCCCCCGGGCCAGGAAAATGGGAATAACCCCCCAATTCCAGCAGGGAACTGGGAATTGCTGAGTTTGGGGTAGATGCCAGGAATTCCATCCCATCCCACCACCACCCCCCCATCCCAGTGGGACACATGGGAATTCCCAACCCCTCTCCACATTCCCAGGGCCTGGAATTCCACGGGACACGGGGAAGTTCCACTGGAGGACAAGGCCTTTATTGGGGTCTCTCCGGGATTTTGGGGCTCCCTGGGATTCCCAGGTGGAATTCCAGGCACCAGGATGGGGCTGGAATCCATCCCAGCCCTTCTAGGGCGGAGCGGCACTCTGGGAGCGGGAATTCCGGGACTTTCCAAGAATTCCGGGCCTTTTTCCCTCCCCTGAATCAGCAAAAGACCCTTTCCAGGTAGGGGTTGAGGAAGATGCCGGTGGGATCCAGGCGCTCCCGCACGGAGCAGAACTTTGGGAATGCCGGGAACATCTTCTCCAGCTCCTGCCGGGTGCAGCTGTGGGCCTGGGGGAGGGAGCATCCAGGGGGGCATTCCCAGATCCAGGGGGGCATTCCCAGATCCAGGAATGCGCTCCGGCCATGAGGAGCCCCGCGGGGAACGGGGGGATCCCATCCCAGCATCGGGAAATGTCGGGATAGGGAAGGATCCAGAGCCTTTGGATGTGGGATGGGATCCGTCCCTGAGCCCCCCTGGTCTCCAAACCACATTCCCAAGATGGAAAATGGGAATTCCCTCCTTTTCCCAGCCTGGGTCCCCACCAGGACGTGCTCAGGGAATGGTGGGATCCCCATCCCAGCATTGGAAAATGTCTGGATAGGGAAGGATCCAGAGCCTTTGGATGTGGGATGGGATCCATCCCTGAGCCCCCCTGGTCTCCAAACCACATTCCCAAGATGGAAAATGGGAATGATCCCCTTTTCCCAGCCTGGATCCCCACCAGGACATGCTGGGAAGCCCCTCAGAGAATGGTGGGATCCCCATCCCAGCACTGGCAAACGTTGGGATAGGGAAGGATCCAGAGCCCTGGGATGTGGGATGAGATCTGCCCCTGAGCCCCCCTGGCCTCCAAACCCCATTCCCAAGATGGAAAATGGGAATGATCCCTTTTCCCAGCCTGGATCCCCACCAGGACGTGCTCAGGGAATGGTGGGACTCCCATCCCAACATCAGCAAACGTCGGGATAGGGAAGGATCCAGAGCCTTGCGATGTGGGATGGGATCCATCCCTGAGCCCCCCTGGTCTCCAAACCACATTCCCATGAGGAAATGTGATGGAAAATGGGAATGATCCCCTTTTCCCAGCCTGGATCCCCACCAGGATGTGCTCAGGGAATGGTGGGATCCCCATCCCAGCATTGGAAAATGTCAGGATAGGGAAGGATCCAGAGCCCTGGGATGTGGGATGGGATCCATCCCTGAGCCCCCCTGGCCTCCAGAGCCCTTTCCCGTGAGGAAATCGTGCTGGGAATGGGGAATTCCCGGCCCTTTCCCGGGGTTTTTTCCGGCCGTACCTTGGCCCAGTGGGGTCTCCCTCCGTGCTTCCTCATGATCCCCTCGTAGATCCGCCAGTATTCCCGCCTGGGAACATCCTTCCCGTACGGCCTGCCGGGAATCCGGGAATTCATTGCAGCGGGATCCGCGGCTGGGATTGCCAATTCATTCCCTGGATTGGGAATGAACCCCCAGCCCCCAGCCCAGGGGTGTCCAGGGAATGGCCCAGCCCATCCCACATCCCGGGGGTATCCAGGGAATGGCCTGGAATGGCCCAGCCCATCCCAAGGCTTCGGGAGCACAAAGCTCCAGGACAGGGAGTGGGATGGCCATCCGGGCATCCCAGGGTATCAGGGATGGCCCAGCCCATCCCACATCCCGGGGGTATCCAGGGAATGGCCTGGAATGGCCCAGCCCATCCCACATCCTGGGGTAGCCCAGGATATGGCCTGGATATGGCGCAGCCCATCCCGGGCTTAGGGCATGAAGTTCCAGGAGCCAGGGATAGGGATGGATTTGGGATCCTGGGATAGGGATGGATTTGGGATCCTGGGATAGGGATGGATTTGGATCCTGGGATAGGGATGGATTTGGGAGCCCGGGATAGGGATGGATTTGGGATCCTGGGATAGGGATGGATTTGGGATCCTGGGACAGGGATGGATTTGGGTGCCTGGATAGGGATGGATTTGGATTCTGGGATAGTGATTGATTTGAGATCTTGGGATGGAGATGGATTGGTCATCCCAGGACAGGAATGGATCTGTTATCCCAGGACAGGAATGGATTTGGGATCCCAGGACAGGAATGGATCTGTTATCCCAGGACAGGGCTGGGGAGGAGTCTCCATGCCAGCATTCCACGTGGGAATGCCGCCCCCAGCCCCGCTCCCGTCCTGCCCGTGGGAAGGGGGATCCCATTGGGATCGGCCATTCCCGGATCCCGGGGAACCCCCACCTGTAGAGGACGACGTTGATGAAGCAGCTGTCCCTCTGGAAGCAGGGGCTCAGCCACACCTCATCCCCCTTGGAAAAGCGAACTTCCACCGGGAAATGAGCCCCGAGCCCGGGCTGGGAATCCAGAGCCGCCCGCAGCTCCAGCAGCGCCGCCCGGGTCCTCCCGCTGAGAGGGGACAGCCCAGACCGGGATGAGAGGGAATTCCTAGCCCCACAGATCCATCCCAGCCCCACAGATCCATCCCAACCCCACAGATCCATCCCAGCCCCACAGATCCATCCCACACCCCACAGCTCCATCCCAGCCCCCACAGCTCCATCCCAGCCCCACAGATCCATCCCAGCCCCACAGATCCATCCCAGCCCACACAGATCCATCCCACACCCCACAGATCCATCCCAGCCCCACAGATCCATCCCAGCCCCACAGCTCCATCCCACATCCCACAGATCCATCCCAGCCCCCACAGATCCATCCCACATCCTGCTGACCGGGGAACATCCCAATCCCGGGATGAGAAGGAATTCCTGACCCCACAGATCCATCCCAACCCCACAGATCCATCCCAGCCCCCACAGATCCATCCCAGCCCCCACAGATCCATCCCAGCCCCACAGATCCATCCCAGCCCCACAGATCCATCCCAGCCCCACAGCTCCATCCCAGCCCCACAGATCCATCCCAGCCCCACAGATCCATCCCAGCCCCACAGATCCATCCCACGCCCCCACAGATCCATCCCAGCCCCACAGCTCCATCCCACACCCCACAGCTCCATCCCACACCCCACAGCTCCATCCCACAGCTCCATCCCACATCCCACAGCTCCATCCCAGCCCACACAGCTCCATCCCACATCCCACAGATCCATCCCACACCCCACAGCTCCATCCCAGCCCCCACAGCTCCATCCCAGCCCCCACAGCTCCATCCCACTTCCCGCTGGCAGGGAACATCCCAATCCAGGATGAGATGGAATTCCTGATCCCACAGCTCCATCCCAGCCCCCACAGATCCATCCCAGCCCCCACAGATCCATCCCAGCCCAGCCCATCCCACCACAGCTCCATCCCACACCCCACAGCTCCATCCCACATCCCACTGCCCGGAAAATGGCCCCAATCCTGCTGTGAGACAGGGATGGATGGAATTCCCGGCCCCCCCCAAGGCATCCAGGGAAGGGATGGGATGGGATGGGATGGGGTGGGATGGGATGGGGTGGGACTGGGATGGGGTGGGATGGGATGGGATGGGAGTGGGATGGGATGGGATGGGATGGGATGGGGATGGAGATGGGATGGGATGGGGATGGGATGGGATGGGATGGGAGTGGGATGGGATGGGGATGGGATGGGATGGGATGGGATGGGATGGGATGGGATGGGATGGGATGGGGATGGATGGGAGGATGGGATGGAGGATGGGATGGGAGGATGGGATGGGAGGATGGGAGAGGATGGGGAGGGGATGGGGATGGGATGGGATGGGATGGGATGGGATAGAGGGGATGGGATGGGATAGGGATGGGATGGGATGGATGGGATAGGGATGGGATGGGAGAGGATGGGATGGAGAGGGAGGGGATGGGGTGGGGTGGGATGGGATAGAGGGGATGGGATGGGATACAGGGATGGGATGGGATACAGGGATGGGATGGGATGGGCACAGCCCATGGCTCCGGGAGCACAGGGGGGAAAGGGATGGGGGGATGGATTTGGAATCTTGGATAGGATTTGGGAGCCTGGGATGGGGATGGATTTGGAAGCCCAGAAAGGCATGGATTTGGGATCCCAGGATGGGGATGCATTTGGAATCCCAGGATGGGGATGGATTTGAGAGCCTAGGATAGGGATAGGTTTGGGTTCCCAGAATAGGGATGGGTTTGTTATCCCAAGATAGGGATGGATTTGGGAGCCCAGGATGAGGATGGATTTGGGATCTGAGATGGGAGTGGATTTAGGGATCCTGGGACAGGGATGGGTTTGGGATCCCAGGACAGGATGGATTGGGATCCCAGGACGGATGGGTTTGGGATCCCAGGACAGGGATGGGTTTGGGATCCCAGGACAGGGATGGATTTGGGATCCCAGGACAGGGATGGGTTTGGGATCCCAGGACAGGGATTGGGATCCCAGGATAGGGATTGGGATCCCAGGACAGGGATTGGGATCCCAGGACAGGATAGGTTTGGGATCCCAGAGACAGGGATAGGTTTGGGATCCCAGGACAAGGAGTTGAGATCTCAGGACAGATAGTTAGGATCCCAGAGATAGGTTAGAATCCTAGGACAGGGAGATCAGGCAGATGAATCCGGGCAAGGATGAATCCCAGGACAGGATTGGGATCCCAGGACAGGTTAGAATCCCAGGACAGAGATAGATTTGGAGATCCCAGGACAGGGATTGGGATCCCAGGACAGGGATTGGGATCCCAGCACAGGGATGGGTTTGGGATCCCAGCACAGGGATGGGTTTGGGATCCTGGGACAGGGATTGGGATCCCAGGACAGGGATTGGGATCCCAGCACAGGGATGGGTTTGGGATCCCAGCACAGGGATTGGGATCCCGGGACAGGGATCGGGATCCCAGCACAGGGATGGGTTTGGGATCCCAGGACAGGGATTGGGATCCTGGGACAGGGATGGGTTTGGGATCCCAGCACAGGGATGGGTTTGGGATCCTGGGACAGGGATGGGTTTGGGATCTGGGGTGTTCCTGGGGGTCCATCCCGGCACTCACACGGGGATGGCCCAGTCCTGGACGTGCTGCCGGAAGCGGCAGTCGTAGGTGAGGATCCGGTGGCTCCTTCCCACCCTCTCCTGGCGCGTCCCGAAGAGCAGCCGGAAAAAACCCCGGTTGATCCAACGAACCAGCCCGGGAAAGAACGTGCTGGGACAGGGACACAGCGGGATTGGGATCCACAGGGACACCCCAGGGATCCAGGGGCAGCCACAGCTTCCCTGGGAATTCCAGCCCAGCCGGGAATCCCTTCCCAATCTCCCACCCCAATCTCCCCTTTCCCAGTGGGAAGCCATTCCCTGTGTCCTGCCATTCCAGGCCCTGATCCCAAATCCCTCTCCAGCTCTCCTGGAGCCCCTGCAGGCTCTGGAAGGGGCTCCCAGCTCTCCCTGGATCCTTCCCTGCTCCAGCCTGGCCATTCCCAGCTCTCCCAGCCTGGATCCAGAGCCTGACATTGGATCCATGCCCAGCCCAACTCCTCTCTGGGAAGGAGTTCCGGGAACAAGGGGGGGTTCCCTGGGAATCTCGGCACTCAGGGAAGGGTCTCCCTTCCCCTTTCCTGCCTTTTCCACCCCCACATTCCATAAAAACCCCTCTGAGTGATCCCAAAGGGCTTTTCCAGCCGGGATGATTCCCGGATTTCCATGGACGCCAGAGGGCGGTGCAGCCCCGGCCGCGATCCCAACGATCCCGACCCTCCCGCACGGGAACTCTTGGAATAAAACCCAGGAATTCCTCCTTCCCCCGGGCCGGGGAAGCTCCAGGTGAGGTCCCTCCCTGCCCGTCCTTCCTGGGAAATCCCGGGAAATCGGCCATGGAGAGGCCGGGATGAGAACCTGGATGAGGCCAGGCCTGGAAAATCCCGCCCCACCCCCTCCCGATCCCGATCCCGCCCGAATCCCACCTGATCCAGAGCAGGAATTCCAGCAGGTGATGCCCCACGGCGCGGTCCCAGAGCCAGCTGGACGGGGAGCTGGGAGCCTGCAAATCCAGGAGCAGGGAACTCAGGGAAGGGCGGGAATTCCGGAGCACAGGCCAGGACTGAATCCCGGCATTCCCAGAATTTCTGTCCCCCCATGGAACAGGTCCCCAAAGAGACCAGAATTTGTCCTGAGCATTCCAAGGGCTTGGAAAACCCCAAATTATGGGAACAGATCCCATCCATTCCCAAAAGGAGACCACAACTTCTCCCGAACATTCCAAGACCTTGGAAAACCCTGGAATTCCCAGACTGTGGGAACAGGGCCCATCCATTCCCAAAAGGAGACCACGACTTCTCCTGAACATTCCAAGAGCTTGGAAAACCCTGGAATTCCCAAATTACGGGGAAAAGACCCATCCATTCCCAAAAGGAGACCAGGACTTGTCCTGAACATTCCAAGACCTTGGAAAACCCTGGAATTCCCAGACTGTGGGAACAGGTCCCGTCCATTCCCAAACCTTGGAAAACCCTGGAATTCCCAGACTGTGGGAACAGGTCCCGTCCATTCCCAAAAGGATGCCAGGATTTGTCCTGAGCATTCCAAGAGCTTGGAAAACCCTGGAATTCCCAAATTACGGGAAAAAGACCCATTCATTCCCAAAAGAGACCAGGACTTGTCCTGAGCATTCCAAGGGCTTGGAAAACCCCAAATTATGGGAACAGGTCCCATCCAGCCCCTAAAGGAGACCAGGATTTGTCCTGAACATTCCAAGAGCTTGGAAAACCCTGGGATTCCCAAATTATGGGAACAAGACCCATCCATTCCCAAAAGAGACCAGGACTTGTCCTGAGCATTCCAAGGGCTTGGAAAACCCCAAATTATGGGAACAGATCCCATCCAGTCCCTAAAGGAGATCAGAACTTCTCCTGAGGATTCCAAGATCTTGAAAAACCCTGGAATTCCCAGACTGTGGAACAGGTCCCACCCAGTCCCTAAAGGAGACCAGGATTTGTCCTGAGCATTCCAAAGGCTTGGAAAACCCTGGGATTCCCAAATTATGGGAACAAGACCCATCCATTCCCAAAAGAGACCAGGATTTGTCCTGAGCATTCCAAAGGCTTGGAAAACCAGGATTCCCACCCGTGGGGTGTCCAACCCAGTCCCAGAGCGCTCCCTCCCCCCCATTCCCGGCATTCCCGGCGGGAATTGCGGGCGTGCCCTGGTGGTGGGGTCCTGGTAGATGATCCGGACGTGGTCGCTGTGCGGGAACCACAGGAAGCGGAAATATTGGGATGAGCGCAGGTGGAGATCCAGCTGATCCAGCACCTGCGGGAAAACCGGGAATGGGAATGGCCAGACTGCCCCAGAGGGGACAGCGGGATGAGGGAAAACCGGGAATGGGCATTCCCAGACTACCCTGAGGGGAAACTGGGAATGAGCATTCCCATACATCCCTGAGCTGGAATGAGCCCAGCCCCGGGACAGGCCGTGGATCCCACTTTTGGGAATGGGAAAAGCTGTGGAATGGGGATGGAGCAGGAATGGAGCTGGGATGGGATGGGATGGGAATGGGGATGGGATGGGGATGGAGCTGGGATGGGATGGGAATGGAACTGGGATGGGATGGGAATGGAGCTGGGATGGGATGGGAATGGAGCTGGGATGGGATGGGAATGGAGCTGGGATGGGAATGGAACTGGGATGGGATGGGAATGGAGCTGGGATGGGAATGGAACTGGGATGGGAATGGAGCTGGGATGGGAATGGAACTGGGATGGGATGGGAATGGAGCTGGGATGGGAATGGAACTGGGATGGGAATGGAACTGGGATGGGATGGGAATGGAACTGGGATGGGATGGGAATGGAGCTGGGATGGGAATGGGGATGGGATGGGAATGGGGATGGGATGGGAATGGGGATGGGGATGGGAATGGAGCTGGGATGGGAATGGAACTGGGATGGGATGGGAATGGAGCTGGGATGGGAATGGAACTGGGATGGGAATGGAACTGGGATGGGATGGGAATGGAACTGGGATGGGATGGGAATGGGGATGGGATGGGAATGGGGATGGGATGGGAATGGGGATGGGATGGGAATGGGGATGGGGATGGGATGGGAATGGAGCTGGGATGGGAATGGAGCTGGGATGGGATGGGAATGGAGCTGGGATGGGAATGGAGCTGGGATGGGATGGGAATGGACTGGGATGGATGGGATGGGAATGGAGCTGGGATGGGATGGAGCTGATGGGATGGGACTGAGATGGAATGGGCTGGGATGGGAATGGGGCTGGGATGGGAATGGAGCTGGGATGGGAATGGAGCTGGGATGGGAATGGGGCTGGGATGGAATGGGGCTGGGATGGGAATGGGGCTGGGATGGGAATGGAGCTGGGATGGGATGGGAATGGAACTGGGATGGGATGGGAATGGAACTGGGATGGGAATGGGATGAGCTGGATGGGATGGGAATGGGAATGGAGCTGGGATGGGAATGGGAATGGGGATGGGATGGGAATGGAGCTGGGATGGAATGGAATGGATGGGAATGGAGCTGGGATGGGAATGGAGCTGGGATGGGATGGGAATGGAGCTGGGATGGGATGGGAATGGAGCTGGGATGGGAATGGGGCTGGGATGGGAATGGGACTGGGATGGGAATGGGGCTGGATGGAATGGAGCTGGGATGGGAATGGAGCTGGGATGGGAATGGGAATGGGGATGGGATGTGATGGGAATGGAGCTGGGATGGGATGGGAATGGAGCTGGGATGGGATGGGAATGGAGCTGGATGGAATGGGGCTGGATGGAATGGGGCTGGGATGGGAATGGAGCTGGGATGGGAATGGGGATGGAGCTGGGATGGGATGGGAATGGAGCTGGGATGGGAATGGGGATGGGATGGGAATGGAGCTGGGATGGGAATGGGGCTGGGATGGGGATGGAGCTGGGATGGGAATGGGGATGGGATGGGAATGGAACTGGGATGGGATGGGAATGGAACTGGGATGGGATGGGAATGGAGCTGGGATGGGAATGGGGATGGGATGGGAATGGGGCTGGGATGGGAATGGAGCTGGGATGGGAATGGAGCTGGGATGGGAATGGGGCTGGGATGGGAATGGAGCTGGGATGGGAATGGGGCTGGGATGGGAATGGAGCTGGGATGGGAATGGAGCTGGGCTGGGATGGGAATGGAACTGGGATGGGATGGGAATGGAACTGGGATGGGATGGGAATGGAACTGGGATGGGAATGGGGATGGAGCTTGGATGGGATGGGAATGGGAATGGAGCTGGGATGGGAATGGGAATGGGGCTGGGATGGGAATGGAGCTGGGATGGGAATGGAGCTGGGATGGGAATGGGGCTGGGATGGGAATGGAGCTGGGATGGGAATGGGGATGGAGCTGGGATGGGATGGGAATGGAGCTGGGATGGGAATGGGGCTGGGATGGGAATGGGGCTGGGATGGGAATGGGGCTGGGATGGGAATGGGGCTGGGATGGGAATGGGGCTGGGATGGGATGGGAATGGGGCTGGGATGGGAATGGAGCTGGGATGGGAATGGGGCTGGGATGGGAATGGAGCTGGGATGGGAATGGGAATGGGGATGGGATGTGATGGGAATGGAGCTGGGATGGGATGGGAATGGAGCTGGGATGGGATGGGAATGGAGCTGGGATGGGATGGGAATGGAGCTGGGATGGGAATGGGGCTGGGATGGGAATGGGGCTGGGATGGGAATGGGGCTGGGATGGGATGGGGATGGAGCTGGGATGGGAATGGAGCTGGGATGGGAATGGGGCTGGGATGGGAATGGAGCTGGATGGAATGGGAATGGGGATGGGATGTGATGGGAATGGAGCTGGGATGGGATGGGAATGGAGCTGGGATGGGATGGGAATGGGGCTGGGATGGGAATGGGGCTGGGATGGGAATGGGGCTGGGATGGGAATGGAGCTGGGATGGGAATGGGAATGGAACTGGGATGGGAATGGAGCTGGGATGGGAATGGAGCTGGGATGGGAATGGAGCTGGGATGGGGATGGAGCTGGGATGGGGATGGAGCTGGGATGGGGATGGGGCTGGGATGGGGATGGGGCTGGGATGGATCAGGAATGGGAATGGGGATGGAGCTGGGATGGGGATGGGGCTGGGATGGGGATGGGGCTGGGATGGGAATGGGGCTGGGATGGGAGATTGGGAAGGGATTCCTGGCTGTGCTGGAATTCCCAGGGAAGCTGTGGCTGCCCCTGGATCCCTGCAGTGTCCCAGGCCGGGTTGGATCCCCTGGGACAGCGGGAATTGTCCCTGTCCCGGGTGGAACCGGTCGATCTTTCCGCCCCTCTCCCATCCCGCCATTCCCGGGTTTTCCTCCTGTCCCAGCGTGTCCCGCTCCCGTCCCTGGCTCGTCCTGCCAAAGTCACTCCGGGAGCGGCTCTTACACAACCCCATCCCAGCATTCCCGGGGGGAAGATGAGATAACCCCCCCGATCCCACTTTTCAAAGGAGCCGCTCCCGCCCCTCGGCCTCGCTCCCGCCTCGCTCCCGCCGCATCCACATGAAAAGCGGGATCCGGGAGCGGAGATGGCCGGGGATTGATAAAGGGAATGAATATTCATGGAGCGCTCGCGCCTCCCGGCGCCCTTCCAGAGGCTCCGGGATGAGGGGATGAGGGCATGGGGGATGAGGGATGAGGGAATGAGGGATGAGGGAATGAGGGATGAGGGAATGAGGGGATGAGGGAATGAGGGAATGAGGGAATGAGGGATCAAGGATGAGGGAATGAGGGAATGACGGATAAGAGAATGAGGGATAAGGGAATGAGGGATGAGGGATGAGGGGATGAGGGATGGGGGAATGAGGGGATGGGGGAATGAGGGATGGGGGAATGAGGGATGGGGGAATGAGGGAATTAGGGATGAGGGAATGAGGGATAATGGAAAGAGGGATGAGGGAATGAGGGATGAGGGGGTGAGGGATGAAGGAATGAGGGATGAGGGAATGAGGGAATGAGGGATGAGGGAATGAGGGATGAGGGAATGAGGGATGAAGGAATGAGGGATGAAGGAATGAGGGATGAGGGAATGAGAGATGAGGGAATAAGGGATGAAGGAATGAGGGATGAGGGAATGAGGGAATGAGGGAATGAGG